CTAATAGTTGTTTTGCAGATCATGACCTTGAGAAAGAAGTTGGATTTTGTTGGCTGTCTTGGGTTGGGGTGTTTAGGATTTTATTTGTTAGGTGTGTTTTGTCACGGCATTGCCAAAGGGGGAGATTGTTAGGTTTTATTCTTGGCAACCCCGTTTGACAAAACTCATTACAGTTGTATTTGTTTTCGCACCTTTTATTTCAGTGAGGCTATGAGTTTATTAGATGCGAATCCAACCCGAATCGTGCCTTTGTCAATTTCCATGAATCAAAACCAAGGGTGTAACAAGATCTAGTTTTCCAGATTTTCCAATTTTGGTCGTCCCGCTCGAGCGGAGATTGCAAGCTCATAGCATCTCTGCGTCGCCTGAAAAAGTACTAGATGGTGTGATTCGACGCTCAAGCGTGGAAACTTGGTATGCATGGTCATATTCGCCCTTATTGTTATAAGTTGCATGGGAGAGTGTATTTGCCTAGACCTAAAAATTGGAAGTTGGAAGCCAAGTCGAGACGGGTTCCCATTGCAGGGGAAAGGAACCACAACGTCAAGACACCACCCAAGAACTGCAATTCTCACAACTTTGTTCGTACTAAAGTAGTTTGGGTGAGAAAACTTGACTTGTGTTAATTTGTTTATTTGTTTTAGCTTTTGGTGTTTGTGTGTTGTTTTTAATGAAAAAAAAATGTGAGCTTGTTCGTTTTTTTGTCTTGCTTTATTTTATTTTTTTTTAAAAAAAATCCCAAAAAGATTTTCTTAGTATGGTTTTGCAAGCTTGAAATTTTTGAGTGGTCCTTGGTGCATATTGGAATTGATGAGAATATCTATTACATGTTAATATATATGTGCTTTCTGTGGTCATTACTCGTTTTGGAGTCTGTGTTTTTTGATTAGTGTGTCTCATTATGTACACACTCTTGGATTAGCAAATTTTGGAGTCTTTCGCCTTAGTGATTATTTTTTCTCTATAGACTTCTGTCATTGATTTTTTGCGTTTCTAGAGGAATTGACCTATACTAGCATATCATGGGTGATGTTGAGTCTCTTAACCACCTACCATCTTTTTGCATCTCCATGGCTTTCCCCTTTATTCTTTGTAGTCCAGCCATGAGGAAAAGGCTACCTCAGAGTCACCAACCAGACCATCCTTATTATATCTATGCTTCTCTGGTTCGGTTTCCATACTCTTGAGTGTGTCAACCACCAATGAGTGTGCAAAAGAAAAAGAAAAAGAAAAAGGAAAAAAAAAGAAAAGAAAGAGAAGAAGAAAAAATATGCAAAAGAAAGAAAAAATGTGCAAAAGAAAGAAAGAAAAA